TTATGTCTGTTATTTCTTTCAGGCAAAGAACCAGAGCCTCACCTCCACGGTCATGGCTCTTTCCACACAAGTCGGCTCTCTGCAGGTCAGAGAGGAAGAACTGAGCTCAATGCTTAAGCTAAAAGTAAACCATCCAAAGCTCGCCTCAATCCAATGCTCATTACACACGTATCCCAAATAAAAATGGTGATCTTACAACCTCTTGTGTTGTCTGTAGGACAAAGATGTGAGCGAAGCCTCTGGTCATGTTCTGGAGTTGTCGGGGAAGCTGCAGGTCATGGAGACGTCTCTGGCAGAGAGTCGCACACAGGAGCTCCAGCTCCTGAGAGACTTGGAGGAGGTGAAGAGCTGTTACAGGGAATCCGAACGGGACGTCTCTCTTCTCAGAGGTAACGGCTTCATTCAGTTGGTACAGGAGGCGTTTTTTAGTGGATCGACACATTATCAGAAAACAGAGAAGCTTATTTCTATTTATTATAAAGGTAAATAATATAAAAATCATGTATAGAAACATGGTGACTTGTATATTTATTTAAAAAATCCAAGAAAATATTAACAATGGATAGTAAATGGAGGGAGCAGCAATAAATGTGCTTTAGATATATTAATACAGGGCTCTATCTCTAGATAACAGTTTGAAAGAGGAAAAATGAAGAACAGGTGGTTTAATAAAGTTTTATATCCACCTCTATCATCTTTTTGCTAAACTTATAAAAAATACATCAGAAAGTGAGACATTTTGCCACTGCAATGAGACAATTTACATTTAAAATAAGAAAGTACAATTGTATCGTCTTATTTCAAGCGCATGTTATCTAATTATCTTATTCTAAGAGTGAAAATACTCATTCGATTGGCAAACTATCTCATTTACCTACTCAAATTTAGGGTAAATAGACTTAATTTAAGAAATTTTTACTTATTTCTAGATCGTTTTCCCAGTGCAACAGTTTCTATGCTAAGTTATCACATATGTGTTTCACTCCTTCAGTTGTCTATACAGTAACAACTGTCTTTTTTCTTGAAATAAGTGTATTATCCCTTTATTTGTGCAGGTAAGTCAGACAATTTGCCAATGGAATAAGATGATTAGATTTATAATAATAAAAAAAACACATAAGTGCAAAAATGCTCACTAAAATTGGCAGATTATCTCATGAAGTTCACTGGTTTGAAGAAACCTGGTTTGAAGAAACCTGTACTTATTTTAAGATCTGTTTTTTTTCAGTGTACCCTTTGGTTTTTTTGGTTTTTTAAAGCAGCCCAAATGAAATAAAAACCTCAGGTAGTGATCCAAAAACGTGTGGAAATGCATTCAATGATAAACAATCTGTTTGTTTCTGAAATCGGCTGATGGTTTCAGACTCCATTGAATCTTTGTCATGCTGTGTTTGCAGAAGAGCTGCAGCAGCAGGTGGCTCAAAGCAGCACCCAGAGAGAGGAGATCATCCGTCTGAAACAGGAGCTAAAGCTGCTTCACGCAGACCTGGTCCTGACAGGTATGAACAGAAACATCCACGCTCTCCTCCCTCAGGCTGAGAAACTATTTACAGCTTTGATCATGTTCCTATTTCTTCATTTTTAAAGGAAAAGTCCGCTCAGCAAGGAATAATCAATGGGTCATTACTTTTACCTAGAACCAGTGCGACCCCCCTGTGTAACTCATGAGACCCCCGAAACCCTTAAAAGCAAAATTTAAAGGGGGTCTTAAATTGTGTCAAAAAAATGTGTCACTAATGGTCACTAAAATGTTTTTAAGCTCAACATGTCCAGTATTTAAAATTCAAAACATTTACTCACAAATATGTTCTGTTTTTTCAAATTAGTCATGTGTGCCCCAAACAGAAGAAAGACGTAACGTTGACAACAATTAATACTAAAAATGGGGGAGGCCGTGGAGCAGTTTCGAGAGTGGAAACTATTTTATTTTACTACCTAAGAAATAAAATATTTTCATGTTCCCCTTGCAATGCACTCACAGACCACTAGGGGTACTCGTACCCTGGTTGGGAATCACTGCATTACAGCATGGTCAGGAATCAGTTAGTCCAGGGGTAACCAATTAAAAATCAGCAGGTTCCTAATAAGAAAACCATCAACCAGTTACGGTCTGGAGACATCTTTAATTATAATCTGTTACTTTAAACCAAATTTAACACTGAAATAAAACAAGGCTTTTATGCATCCATGTTATACATTGAATTTTTTAATTAAAAAAAGATTTTAAAAAATAGAAGATTTTTCCATTTTAAAATCTAAAGTGTTTTGTTTTTTTTAAAGTAGAGAACAACAATCATTCAGTTTGCTAAATAGACAATTTCCTGATTTAAAATATTTTATAAAACACCTGAACTGACTGTTTGTTTGTTTTTTTTCTGTCTTAATG